TTTTAAATATTAAAACATCATAATAGTATATACTATTTATAAATACCAAATCAATGTCACTATATTTTCCAGTCCTACTGTTTTATTTCGTAGAAAATCACTTTGTTTTTGCTGCTGCCTCAAGCTAAGTAAATATGTTTTTCATAAAATTACAACAAAAGAAATGAAATAACAATTGTGAAAGCAAGGTGAAAATATATATAAAAAGGAACCTACACAAATTTGTTTTGCAAGTATCAGGAAAATGTAAAATAAATATATATTTGTGCCAGGCAGGGAAAAGACAAAATATATATTGTTCTCGAGCACAAAATGGTGCTGATGGTAGAAAACTAAAATTACTATTGAATTTACAAAATTGTTGCACAATTTTTAAGTAAAATATTTATCTGGCCCTGGTTTCGAAGTGTGTTTAGTTAACCGAGCAAATGTTTGACTCAGCTTGGGGGAAAAGTGATCAAGAGAGGAAAATCGGTTTACGTTTTTCCATCCGCCCCCGAGGCAGACTCAGAATTTAAGCAATTGTTTTTTAATCATTGATATTGCAATTTGTATCGAATTATTTGTGTGCCTTGAGGCAAAAACATTGAAAGTGAGGAAAATGCTGACAAACATAATTTTTCATTTATGAAAATCCAAAAAGCTTAAATTAACTTATTTCTGCATGTTCCGATAGGGCTTTGAACTGTCAAAAATCAGAAATGTTTACAAGCAGTTTCCTCTCCTTCTTTCCCCCCCCCCCGCCCCTCTTTTGCCATTTTCCAGCTAGTTTTCTTTTCGTTTCTTTCATTTTTTTTGCCTTCTCTCGCTTGTTTCACTTTGTGCACACTTTTTGCAATTAGGCGAAAAATTCAAATTCAAATCAATAGACAAGGAAAACTTTTGCTGCAGCACGTCGTCATAGCAAGAGGGCCATACGTATGCCATATATATATAAAGATGTATATGTGGCAGGGTGGAGGGAATAAGGAACAAGGATGCAGGCAGGGTCGCAGGACCAAGACCAGGACCAAGACCCAGACCAGGCCAATTGGCCAATGCCAGCGGGCTCCGTACGTGTTTGGCCAAAATAATCCCGGAACGGGTCCATCAGCGGTTCCAAAATGCACGAGGAGAAAAATTTTAAAGATAATTGTTATTGTTATTAGATATTAAAGAATTAATAAAATTCAAAACAATGATTTATTTACCTTAAATTCATTTATAGTTATTTGTATTAAATTATACTATAATGTGTATATTTATATTGTGTTATTTTGTAGATAAAATACAATTCATAGTAAATAAAACTATGCAAAGAATATGTATAATAATAAGTAAAATAATAAATATAAATATACAAAGATAATGTTAATATATTTATATTTATTTTCTAGATAGATTAGATTATTAGATTAGATTATAATATAATAATTATATTTTTAATGTGTTATTTGCTTAGATGAAATACAATAACAATTTTAATATAAATATGCAAAGAATATGTTTAATTAAATTTATTATTTAGATAAAAAACAACAACATAATTAATATAAATATACATATACATATAAATATAATATAAACTTTGCTTGTACATTTATATTTATTATGTTATTGTTTTTATTGTATATTTAAATTTGTTTTATTATTGTATTTTAGTTAAGTAATATAATTATATAATTATAATTATAATTATATTATATTATAATTATATTATTTATACCAGCAAAAGCACATTAATTGTTATATATATTTGCATATTATTAATAGCATTCGTTCAAATTTTTTTAATATGTTTAATCTTTAAAAACTTAATTAAATGTATTTATAATATTTATGTATTAAGTTAAATAATTTTAACTAAACCCCTGTAACTCAGGTTATTTATATGTATCTCAAATATTTATTTATTTATTTAATTATTTTATAATGTTTTTTATCCTTTTCCAACACTGTACCCAGTATTTTAATTATTTATTTTTAAATTAATTATTATAAGCTAAAACATCCTTTTCCCACACTGTTTTTGGTGTTCCAGAAGTCCTGTTTTTTGGCTGCGGGTGTGGATACGTTTTGGGGCCACTCCCCAAGGAGCTGCTCGATGCTCGCCGCCGCTGCAACAAGCGAAGATGCTGAAAGGACGAAAGGACGACAGGACAACAGGACGGGACAGTGCAGGATCTGGCGCTGAGGCTGACGCTGACGCTGATGCTGACTCTCTCTCAGGCTGAGGCTGAGGCTGAGGCTGACGTTGGGGCTAATGTGATTTCGTACGTTCAATTTGTGAATTGCCTGGAACACACGTACAGCGGCGGAGGGGGAAGGGAGGGTGAGGAAACAAGGGAAAATTCGGGGGGAAAATTCGGTGGGAGGGGGTGTCTTTTGGGGTCCTGGGCCAACGACATATGCATAACTACGTGGCATGTGCATTTTGCTGCCTTTCTTTCATCCCTTCGTCTCTTTGTTGCCCTTGCATGGCCTTTCCTTTCTTTTCCTTTCTTTTTTTTATTTTTTTTTGGCGGCAGCTGGCTCATTGTCGTGCAACAATTTAACATACAACGTGGTTAACATTTATGTTCAAGTATAGAAGTTGGAAATATCCATTAATCACTAGTTAAAAATAAATATAATACTGGGTTCAAGTTTAAAAAAGAATTATTATTTTTACTGTTCAGTTAAAAGAAAGGTAAAATTATGAAAAATTACAGTTAATTTAAAGTTTCATTTTAATGCCATAGACAGCAAAAAGATTTTGCAATTTATATATAAACTAAATTAATTAAATAAAATAAGGACTACGACTAATTTAATAATATTTATAAAACCTAAAAATATGAAATATTTACACTAGAAAGATTATACAAATATTTGCAGATATTTTATATGATAAATCTTTATATTAGCAAGAAAGAGTTATCATAGAAAATATATATGTTTTTATTTTAAGGTTTTTTAGTGAGAAAAATTAGTATCTAACTTACCTAGAAATATTTGTTGTATTTTGGTATTTTAAAGATTTAATATATTAACTATTGATAAGTACTTTTGGAGTCCTTTTAATGTACATATTTAATATTTAAAATATTTAGAATTATTTCTGGAGTCTTTTTAATTTAAGGATATAATGTATTATATATTATATTCTATATTATTATATAAAATGTCTAGAATTATTTTTAGAATCTTTAAATTGTAAATATTTAATATTTAAAATACCTCAAACTATTTGTGTGGGCTTTTAAATGTAAAGATTTAATAGAAGAAGAACTAGATTTGTTTTAAACTTTTAATTGAAATGAAGTTTCCAGAAATATAAAATATTTTACATAATAAACTTCTGCATCTTGCTTTTATAATGTAAAATTTAAAAAGAATTAAACCAGAACCATTTTAAAATACTAATTTAAACTGAATTTTAAGAAATATTAAATATATTTTACCTTACAAATATATGCTCCTTTATCTTTAAGGACCTTTTTTAAACCTTAACCAAATCAAAAATAAAACCCAGGTCTCTTCAGATTTTAAAGCACCAAAATTTACCAGAAAGAAATATATATAAAGACACCTTCAACAGGTCACCTGCAATAGCTTATAGGTTTATAAAAAAATTACTCAATTTTGAAACCTACTCCTTTGGGACTCGCGTGTCGCTTGTTGCCTAAAAGCCAAGTTGGCTAAAATAGTTTAAGAATTCATTGAATTTTTGGGCCCATTTTTGTTTTAGCTTAAGTAGCCTTTACCGAAGATTTCCCCACGGTATCAGGAACGGCGGACTATGCGGCGGCAACAATGCTGTCAGCAACATGATTACCTACGGCGCACAAGGATCGCACAAGGAGGAGCACAGGACGAAAAGGAGGAGCACAGGACGAGGACGAGGAGGAGGACCGCCAGACAGATGACTCGTCCTGCAGGCTGCAGTTGAATGCAGTTCGGGGGAGGAGATGGAATGGATAGAGTCAACTCGGACTTGGATTCCGAATCGAAATCGCAGTTGGAGTTGGTTGCATTAAATGTAAGGCACTGTGCCAGTCACACACGCCGAGAGGGGGGAGCCAAAAGGATATGAGAGAGACACTGGCAGTCAGACAGACTGCGGCAGGAACATTTTGCATTAAAATTAAGGCAAATTTATAATGAGCCAAAATTGTCGTTGCAATGCAATCGCCGCAATATATAATATATGGCACATATATAGCATTATATATACATATATCTGCATATATGAATGTATGAATTGCATTGCATATAAAATATATATATATATATATATATATGAATGTGTGTGCCTGGAACGTGACTCCCTGACTCTGGAGTTTTGGACTCCTGTCTGCCGGCGACTCCAGTGACTTCATCCCATTATTGGGGTAATTTATAATTTGTTCATTTAAATGATTACCAAGGCAAAAAGGCAGTGGCTATACGAGGACAAGACAGATTGGCATAGACTCATACATGTATATATATGATAATATGGGTAACCTTTTATTATTATTACCAAGAGAGAGGAAGGACTTTAAATTTACATTTTTTGTGAGTTGAAAAGTAAGCAAAGAATACCTATAGTTTCTTTATTTTTATATATATTTTATAGTTAATTTAAGGCATTAATTTTTCTTTACTTATCATATTTATTGTATCTGCAGTTTTCGTAAGACCCCTGATATTTATTTTGGCCTTAAGCTCTTTCCTCAGGAATGCAACCATTTGTGGCACCTGGTCATTAGGGAGCCAGTGCGGATGTGTGTATGTATCTGACTGACACAACTGAAATTTAAAGTGCAACATCAATCACTGGTGCAAAACGGGGACAAAACTTCTACTGGTGCCTTTACTTCTTTGCCATTTCTTCTGGCTTCTGGCAACTAGCAACGGAGCATTTATGCCTTGGCTAGGCTCAAATATCCTGGCTTCCTGTTGCTCCTGCTCCTGCTCCTGCTCCTGCTCCTGCTCCTGCTCCCAGCCCCTACTCCATGTTTCTCCAGAAGGAACTCGAATCGTAATGACGCAACAATTTAAAGTTTGTCGTTGATGCTGCAAAACTCGGTGCTAATGGCGTCAGCGTCAACGTCTTTCAACTCATCTTTATCCGCCCCGCTTCAACCTCCATCTGGAGCTTCAGCTTCAGCTCCAGCTTCAGCTTCATCCTGATCCTGTCCTGCCATCTTGTTTTTGTTGTTGTTGATGACGGCGATTATTTGCGCCATGAACACATGGAAGCAGCTGCAAAAGGTGGCGTCCTGCATCCTGTTGCCCAACCATCCCGATCCCCCATTCCCAATCCCATTCCCAATCCCATTTACCCCACCATGAACTCAGCCAAATGCAACCCAGTTCCAGGCTTCGGCCAGGTTGTCCACGCGGAAATGCACCAAGAGAAATTAGAAGGTATTTTAAGGGATTTAATTTCATTTTCTTATAATGAATTAAACAAAGAATTAGTATGGATGGCCAACAAATATTCAATTCTTTTCTTTGAAACAAAATATATGGGCTTGAAAATTATGGAATTATTTGTCATAACGTACACTCTAATTATTAAGGTTACAGTTCAAATAAATTTTGTACTACTTGACAACATATTTAACAGATTTCTTTAAAGAAAGAAAGAAAAAGATAACCAAGTTCCCTTTCGAAATATTTAGGAAAAACGATATGGGACTAGGGATGGCAGAAAATATAAAAGTATCTTTAATATAACGATCTATTATTCGAGAGTCGATATTTGAAATGCAGTAAAATGCGATATTTATATAGTTCTTTACCAATATAATAGAAAAAAAGATTCCACTACATTAAATAATATTTTTGTGATAGTTTTGATAATCTCTTAAAAGCTTAAAGAAATATTTTCTTTTATTAAATAGATTTCGATATATTAACGTTAACGATATTTATAATATTATATTTTAATATGTGTATCGATACATATTGAAAATTTGCTCTGGGTAGTTGTTCGATTGATAATCATTTAAATAAAATGCCTGATAATATATTCAAATTTATATTACTATTATGAGTATTATATATTTTACAAATATTAAATAATATTTTCCAGAGTTTAACGAATTTTTTAAACTATGGAAAATATTTTTTGATATTTGTAAAAATGTATAATGCTTATATTAGTAATTTAACCTAACCTAACGATTTTTTTGTGAGTGCATCAGTGACTCGGTGTGCAGCAATTCAAACTTTAAGCTGTCGACGAGGCGATGTCGAGCACTGCAACTGCAGACAGATGGAAAGAGATGGCTAGAGATGGGGAAAGCAAGATAGATAGATAGATGCAGACACTTGGCAATACAAATTGAAATACTTCTTCCTCGGATCCTTGCTCGAACCCCCGTACCTCCCTCTCCCTCTCCCTCCCTCCGAGGCTTCTCTCTTTCGCAGTGAGTTTGACTGTTGCTCTGCCGGATGTATTAATATAAATGAATTATTCGGATGAGGCTCTGCACCGCGGCCTCCACCCCACTTTAGCGACATCCTCTGATAGATATTATGATGGATACGCCCTAACGATGCCGCACAGGACGCTGCAGCGTGTTCCCCAAAAACTTGGCCAGAAACTTTTATGGTCACGCTCACACAGGAGATGGAAATACACACACAAAAACACACCTGACAATTCTGGCCAAGTCAGAAAGGCGCGAAGATTAGAGAGAGAAGAAAATCTCACGAGTTGGAAAACCAATGAATGAAATGGATAAAATTTTAAAACAGGTGACTCTGGGTTCAAGGAAAGATCCAGAAGATTAAGGATATATATATTATAAGATATTTATATAATAATATTATAATTAATTGGAATTATTTTATATATTATCCTATATCTTAGCTAATAAACCAATGAATTTGACTTAATATCATAAAATATCAAGTCCCCAAGCATCTGTACATAGCTCACAAAACCTGCCCCAGGACCTTATGAAATACCCGTAACCCCAAGCTCTCTCTCTCTCTCTCTCTAACTCTAGAAATGGCAGCATTCGTCCTGCCCTGCTTTTGTCCTGCTTTCGTCCTGTTAAGTTCTCGGCACCGCATACAATTTTGGCCATGGCCCTGGGGCGGTAACTGCAATTTAGACAAGTTTATTTATATGAATGTGCGGCACCAAGCACACACAAAACACACACAAATATAAATATATAACATATATATGTATATATTGGGTAAACGCACAGGATCTGCATTGTTGCTGTGGTCGGAACTTATTGTCCTTGCATGCATCGTGGCACATTGAAAAGGCGCTCGGGGCAAGTCCTTCGCTGCATTGCCGCTCAGTTGCCAGCTAATGATATAATGAGCTAATCAATACAATTAATTAGCATTATCTGCATCTTAAACGGGCAACAACGGCATCAGCTAAGGGCAATTGCTGGATATGCAATGGCTTTATAGGTGCATACTATATATATGTTATATGGGATCAGGCAACACAGAGGTAGCAATTGAAATTGTGAAACATTTAGTTTTTGGAAATATATTAAACATAATCTGTATAAAATTTAATAAAAGTGTAGAAGAGAAATTGAACTTAATGAATAACTTTTTATATGGTTAAAGGGTATTTTATTTTTAGTCAAAAGCTTGTAATTCCGACCCTATAAACCATATAGATTATTGATCAGCATCAGCAGCTCTCTCCCCCTCTCACTCTCTCTTACTCTCTCTATCTCTTTTTATGCGGTAGGTCCAACTCCCACTGTGCTTCTCCTGGGATAACTCTTTCTATGTATGTTTCTCCGTCTCTCTCTTACTCTCTCGCTCTCACTTTCTCTGTTCTCTTGACTCGGGAACTATAAATAGAGGCACTTCGATCGCCGCGACCTCAGTCTGTCCTAGGGGTACCTAGTGATTACATCGTGATAGTGAAAGTGATAGTGATTACGCTCCGAACTCAAAAGTATGACGTGGCCAATGGGATACATCCGGATAAACAGGAAGTGATCTTCGATACTATGATTACCATGATTACCCTAATTGAAGCCACCAAGATTATAAGTCTACACTGGAAGGAAGTAAACAATGATGTGGCCTGCACTGAGGTAAGTATTATTCATGACAATTATATTATTATGTCATATGCAGGTATGCATATATTCTATCTGAGGTATCAGATTTAGATGTGTTAGCTATGTATTTATTATTTTCAATTAATTCCCGTATTGTCCTATTGTCCCGTATAGTCCTATTACATAATTGTAATTTAAAGTGATACGGCAATTTGTATTGATGATATCCACAAACGTATACTCAAAGTACAGTCTTAATTATTTATAAATTGTTCTCGAATATTTATTTCTTACCATTTCGATAGTTTGAAAACTGATCCTGACTTTTGATATATATATACACCTTATAAGGTAATGTAATTTCAGAAGCTTGTTACACTGTGAACGACCTTTCCGGACATTTCCAACCATATAAACCATATATATTCTTGATCTACTCAGTTGTTGATGCTGATCAAGAATATATATGGTTTATAGACTCGGAAATGATTCCTTTACTAATTTGGAAGCTATAATCGTCTTCAAGGGTGTAAAAATGATAAATTAATAACAGAAAGTATTATCTCCTAAACCGGTATAAATTAACTAAATCCCAGTTACAAAATAAACCACTAAAAGTAATACTAGCTTAAAATATTTAATGCAAAGATAATCCGTAGTCTGGAGGACAACGGGACGTATACATGATATTCTATGTTGGTTGGGGCGATGATACGTATACGTAATTTTATTTTATATAGGATTTCAAAGTGTAAAAAATCCATAACTAAGCCAAAAATGTATTAATTTCGATTCGAAAAGCTGTTCTGTTCTAGTTTTGAATAGGTTAAAAAACCTCAATACCAAAATTACACTTTTAAACTATTCAAAATTTTGTCGATTTTTCAATATGTTAACAATGAAAAAACGTCTCAAATATTGTGGAAAAAAATTTTCAAAAATTTTCTTCTCTACTTTTTAGCTAGAATGATTCGCCTGTTAATGCTGATCAAAAATATATATGCAATATAGGGTCGGCAATGGTTCCTTGACTTCGTTTTAAGCTTCTGACTGAAATTATAATACCATTTTATGAGTCAATATTTTGATATATTTATATGATATTTTATTCTGCAAATCAAAACTTAAAAAACTCATAACTAAGCCAAAAATCCATTAATTTCGATTCTAGTTTTGAATAGGTTAATAAATCTGCAGACCTAAATTACACTTTTAATTTATTCCAAATTTTGTCGATTTTTCAAATTGTTAATAATGAAAGGAGGTCTGAAAGATTGTATTAAAGATATACTCAAAGTTAACAGCCGTAATGAATTAATTGTTGATTATTGATCCAACTTTTGCTTCATTATAATACCGCTGTACGGTACTATAATTTCAGTTCAGAAGCTCGCAACGCAGTGAAGAAGTAAATTCCAGTCATATAAAGAATATATATTCTTGATTCTTCCGTCTGTCCGTTTCACCGCAATCTATTCTTTCAGTTTTAGAGCTATTTGAATGAGTCTTTGTAGTAATTCTTCAATACACTCGCTCTCTCAACGGTTCGGATCGCACGACTATATCCTATAGCTGCCATAGGAACGATCATTAAATGTAATGAAAAATGCAAAACTGTGAGTTTAAAACTATAAATTTAATATGTAGCAGTGAATGTAATAAAAGTAGGCATTAGTTTGTTGTTTCTTTAACTTAAAATTATATAATTTATATAATTTATTAACTATTAATGATCGAATTGCAATTTGCAATTGTATAAAAAGTTCGGCGGGCGGAAGTTAGTTTCGGTTCATATAATATCATAATATTGTAATGGCAGAGAATAGCTTTTTCTCGCCCTCTCTTTCTGTATGCCTCTATAAGCCTCTGCCTCTCGCTCTCTTTCTTACTCACAATAACTATGGGTACGTCTGCCTCCCTCTGTTGCAGCTCTAGAGCTAGCTCTTTCCCTCTCGCTCTCTTTCTCTGTTCTTTTTGATCGGGAAGTATAAATAGAGGCACTTCGATCGCCGCGACCTCAGTGTGTCCTAGGGGTACCTGGTGTTTACATCGTGATAGTGATAGTGATAGTGATTACCCATTGACCTCAACAGTATGATGTGGCCAATGGAATGCAACTGGATAAACAGGAAATGAAATGACGTGTCCTCCACTGGGTAAGTCTTAATCATGACAATTATATCATATACAAATTATTTTATTATATCATATTTATATATACATTGATT